GAATGAGATCCCTGCATTTTGGCCTTTTGAGGACCCGGTTGAATCTGGACAGAGGAAAGATGGAGGGAGGAGCAGAAGAAATGCTCCATGCTTATGGGTCGGGGAAGCGGCACTTCAGGGCACCATGCACTGTGTAGGCCATGGCAGTTGTGTTTCCTAGCGGAGCAGGATAGATGGGAAGAAGCGCCATTCCACCTTGAAGAAAGCTCTTCCTTGCCCAGACAGGTGCCTACCTTGCAAGGAGCGCTAGGTCCATTACCCAACTGCTTCCCGAACCTGCAGCCATTTGTGATCCACATTCCACAACACGGCAGCTTATTTCTAACATGACCCAAATCCCACGAGCCCCTGGATCCAAATAGTGCCACACCGCCGCAGCCTCATCACCTGCACCTTACAGCCCGGTTTGTACCCTGGACCAGGCTCAGCAGTCTCAAAAAACCCAATCACCAATAACCAGTCCGCCTGTCCAGCCATTTGTGCAGAGCAGGCTCAGGTATGGGCGTGAGCGGCTGTTACCAACACACGACTGTTGTGGACTAAACACAGCTTTGGCAGCTGCTTGGTCCGGATCGGTTGTTCTTGTCCAGAACTCAAGAGTCTCATTAGCCGCTCTTCGTAACCCAGGCTGCACAAAGAAGCAATCAGCTTCCTTACAAATGGCCTTGGACTGGAAATAAGAATAGGAAAAACAAACCCAAACTTGCTAAATCAGGCATTTATACAAATGCATTAACTTTCCCATTCGCCAATATAACAGAATCTCCTTTTTCTGTCCCTGTGTTGGTGTCTCTGCTTCCAGCCAAAGACGAGAAATGCAGAGACAAGTGAAAACAAGAGACCAATCTTTTTCCTCTGTCTTTTTGTTTTGATCCAACTTGGTTTTGCTTTGATGATTTTTTTTTTTTTAAAAGATAAATGTTCCTGTCTGTTCTGTTTAATCTAAATTGATTTTTCTACAGCTAGACAGGCTAGATTGTAGGTGCAACGCACCCTGCTTTCAACCATAGAAAAAATCTTGGTTAAAAATGCCAGCAAAGGGAGAGTTAAATATCTGTTGATATTCTTTCTCTTTAATAAGTACATCTACTAAAAATAAGCGGAGTGGAGAAGTCCAAAACAAAAGAAAACCATATAAACGTTTGTAGGAATGAGTAATGACCAACCGTGCATTGAGGCTCCTGCAGATTTTTGCTGTCCTCAGCAGCATGGAAGATTTCATTAAGAAGAGAGAGCTTCTTGCACTCCTGCTTTCAGAGAGAGCCCTACTTTCAGGCTGCAGAGCTCAAGCAACATCCAGCACCATCCAGCCATGAGGTGCTGCCATTCCTTTTAACATGGCCATCATGTTGAAGGGGCTGCATCTCTTATGCCCTCGGCCTTCCCACAGGGGAGCACGGCACGTAGGATCAGGAGGAAGCTTTTACCCTTTGAAGATGTTTTGCCCAAATTAAATGCCCAAATCCAGCCTCTAGAGTTTATTTTATAAAATCTCGTGCTGTCATAAAGAAGCATGTCAACTTGCAAAGTGTTTTGAAGCACCCCGAGGGCATCTTTTAACATGGTGCCTCATTTTCACCTCTCCCTCTAAATAGTTAGATGGTTATATGGCATTATTCATACCTTCACAGTGCTAAAATACACTTTAGCTGTCCCGTCATTTGCTTTCCTCAGAAATGTGCTTTGTCTTTCTAGCCTGGGGATAGAAGGCATTCAGTTAATGTTCAAGTAATGGCAGATATCAAGTGGAAGAAAAAAATATTAGCAGATCTTGCCTGTGTTGACAAATGTGATTAAATGACAGTTCAGTCTTCTGACCTTGTAAAATGAGAACTTTTGGTCCTTTTTGATTGGCTAGGAAGTTTTTTTTCAGGCCTCTCTCTTATTTGGGAGTATCCTGTTGGATTTGTCCTTCCAGTTTGTTGTTGAAACACAAACATAATGAGCAACAAAATAATTTCAGTGAGTGGATATGCTGGATAAAGATTTTATGTCCACTGAAATTGCCAAGTTATGCCATTGACTTCAGTGGGACCTAGACCCTGGCCCACATAAACATAAGGTCCTGATTTACGTGGCAGTGTTCGTTATCGATCATTAGACTGTATTTGCTCCCATAAACAAAACCATGGCAAAGGCCCCAACTGAGCAAAGCAGTTAAGCATTGTCTTCAGTCCCATTGACTTCAGTGGGTGTGAGGCATGTGCTTTTGTTCGGTTTGGGCCAAACAGATCTGTCGTGGGTTAACTGAGTATATCTAACAAGTGGCAGTGGGACATGAAGGCCCAGGTGGCTGAATGGAGTTGTCAAAAGGTTGACATGTAAGGGGTGGACTGCTGTTTGATTGACATGTGACAGATTGTCTGAATCCCCGAGCCCTGTGCAAGATCCAGGCCTAAAATAACTTTGTAGGGCTCGCTCAGGGGTGGCACTCAATGTGCAATGCCCTGGCCTGTACAAATCACCACTGGCATCAGTGGACTTCTCTGCAGGCCCAGCAATCTGCCTGCATGTTGGTAGGATCAAAGTCTGAGATTGCAAACTGCTTGGGGCAAGTACAGTGCTGCCCTGGTCTGCAAATATTGCACTGAATGCAATAGGGCCCCAAGCAGGCTTGGGATCTTTTGTATGCTCCTGTAATGTAAGCAGCAGTCCCTCTAATGCAATGTGTCCTGTTGTAAGCTCATGCTTTGAATTTAGTGGTGCCCAAAGAGCTTAAAGAGAACCAGTCAGACAGGATTTCAAATGGCTTTTTTTTTTTTTTTTTTTTTTTTAACAGGACAGGAATATTTTTGAAATGTGTGATCATAGTGGTCATAAGGAAGGAAGCCAGACCGTCCCTTCTCTTGGGGTGGGGATGGCAGATCTCCTTGCAGGAAGGCTGCTTGGGTTTCTGCTCTGTGTTGGGAAAGAGATTTACCTCTTCTCACATGTGGTTCCCAACCAATTCAGAGCAAGTTAATGATATTCAACAGAGGGAAGAGGTTGCTGAATGAGTGAGAAGGAGCTTGGCCACCTGAGATCAAATTCCTAGCATGATGTATCGAGACACCCTTTTGGATATCTTCCAGCCTTACACCAACCCCCATTTGGGAAAGGCCTGTAGCACTTGCTTAAGTACTGTCACAAGTAGAAATGGATTCCAGAGTCAGACCTGGTGTTGAACTTGAAATCTGCTCCATTTACAGGAGCGACAAATAGCAGTAACTTCACCTACAACCGTGTGTGTGTGTGTGTGTGTGTGTCTATATAGGGTACACACAGAGTGTATCAGTGGACCCCTGTTCACTTGTGATCTTTGGGCAATGCATCTGAGTCCATCTGCCAAGTTTCCATAGCTTTACAAGCCTACTTCCTTTCATTTAAAATTTTCTGTCCTTTTTCTTACCTTTTCTTCCAACCGCATGTTTGGAGATCCACAGTGGAAGCAAGGAAACATGTCGGTCACATGCAAAAAGTAAACTAGTACGAAAAAAAAAAGAGGTTGCAAGCACCTTTCATTTCCCAGCTACATTTTTTTTTGTAAGCAAGAGAAGGTAAAAACCAGACTAGGAAGAAGTATAATTTTTGAGTTGAAATTGTTTTGGCCTGGTCTGTTAACATGTTTGGCTCCCCATCTTTCCTGATGAATTCTAGTTAAATGCCTTTACAATGAATGTTACTCAAATAGAAGAATTATGGGGGAAAACATCTAAGTAAATGAAAAGTTTTTCTTTTTTCAGAAGCAGGCAGGGTTCTCAGATGCATAGTGAGATTGTAAGTGTGCTGGTAAAAAATTGCTCTGGTTTTATCATAATGTAGAGTTGCACTGTCCTGCGCTTTTCATACTTGAAGACAAAGGCTGAGTCAAAGTAGTCAGCTCTGCATCTGTAAGTCAACGGCACCAGTCTGATCAAGAGGAGGTCAACTGGTTGGAGGTTTTGTTTCGGGATCCTTCAACTGTTTCAATATTATTTCTCCGTAATCATTTGTCTGGTATATTGAGCTTATGAAGAGCAGCTTGGCCATTGTACAACTGCTTACGTCTTTAATGTACCAAAGATATAAATAGGCCCCCCTCTCAACAATAGGAAATGACTGCAGCAGGTGTTGCCCTATGCTTGTATTTTGCATGGTATTACTACCCAGATACTTCTTGATTTATTTTTTTTTGTATTGGTTTTTGTGTTTGTATGTGTGCGTTCTTCCTTTGTTGTTAAATGTCAACTGACATTTAACAAGTGACGGCTGAAGTCTTAAGATTTTCATTAAGTTAGAAGAAATAAACTAGAAAGTTTTTTTTGGGTGGGGGGGGAGGGGAGGGATCAGGTCATTTATACAACCTCATTATAAAGTGCATTTTATGTGCAGCGTCCTTAAAATGTTAGCAGAAAAAGTAAGGGGGTTATTTAACACTGGCTGTTAGTAGTAAAAGGACACAGATTCTGTGAAATTTGGTCAATCCTGGTTTGGCTCCAGCTCATGCCTGCAATGACAAAGACTGTTTTTTGAGTGGCAAACTTTCACCTGGATTGCATTACCCAGGTGCTGGTTAGTGCATGAATAGCAGCACTGAAATCAGTGGGACTTCTTGTGCAGAGACTTACTGCTCCATGGGTCCGGAGGGTGATACGCTTATGTGAATTGAATGCCGTGGTATCAGTTGAGTTTGGCATAACCAAGTATCCACAAAACATCATTGTGTTTATCCTAAGCTTTCAGTCTCAGTAGTGAGACCAAGAGGTTTAATTCTGGACAATAAATGCATCTCAACTGTAGAAGTAGCTTCCTTAGGCCATAGCAAGGCAGTGTTGTTAGCCAGTGTTGGTATAGTTGTGCACTTCCAATGGAAAGTCTCCAGTGGCGTCACACTGTGTTCATGAAAGGCACTGATGTATTTGCTAACTCTCACCCTTTCACGCTAAATTAAAAGCAATGTGGAAGTAATAATAGGCAGGAGAAAGGACTGTTTCAGTTAGTGTTGCATCAAGCTGTCTTTAACTCGGTTCTCTCTCCCGTAGATGCGAGAGCTGCGTGGAGCTGCTCTTTGTCAGAGGGGCTGGAAACTGCCAGGAGTGTGACACCCCATTGCGGAAGAGCAACTTCCGGGTGCAGCTCTTCGAAGACCCCACTATTGACAAGGAGGTCGACATTCGGAAGAAAGTGCTGAAAATGTGAGTGTCACTAGCTTAAGAAACAACAGTCAAATGGGCTTATGGTGTTTTCAGCTTCAAAAATGGATTTAGTTTTGTTGGGGGAGTAGGAGGGAAGAGGGGAAAAGGTGTAGAGAGCAGAATGCCTTTATTCTGAAGGATATAACGGGACCTGACTTGTTGACCATATGAGGAAACCTGAGAAAATTCTTACTTGCTTAGCCAGGGGTCTTGTTTGTAATGTGGAAGTGTGATGCTCAGCTTCCTAGGGAAGTTTTACCTTCCAAATGGAGCTGGCTCTAGAGCATGAGGACAGGAGTTGCCTTGCCCTCCCATGTATGGATGGATCAAGGAACAGGAGCCTTGTGTATCGTTCCATCAGGACCTGTCCTTTGAGCCACAGTGAGGGAGAAGCGAGGGCTTCTAAGTACAGAAGTTATAACAGGAGTGCATGAACACCTTGCTAGCTGGTATAGAAAGCAGAGAACTAGGTCAGACCAGTGGCCCATCCAGCTCAGTATTATGTCTCCACCAGTGGCAGGGATGGATGCTTTAGAAAGATCATTGAACCAGATATATCTAGCATGATCTATCCCTTATTCCTTACCCTCTCTGGTATCCACCAGAAAAGAAAATTTATCTCTGAGGCCGTTTCTAACCCAACTGTGATGACCAAACCAGTCAACTTTGAGGTTGCTGGGATGAAGGGGTTGTCAGTCTAAAAGTCCAAGTCTAACTGAGATATAATTTAATAATATGGACACCTGCATTAAAATGGTTGCTTCTACAGATTCTTGGTACCTTAAAAATATTAAATTAGCTAGGCAAGGGTTATAGAAAGATCATTCAAGCAGGTACTGAAATGTGTCTGCTTCTGAAGTGGAATTCTATTCATGTTGATGTCTGAATCCAGGCCTGTTGAAGTTAATAAAAAAGAGTCTTTTTGATGCCAGCTGGCTTTATATCAGGCCTTAAATGAGCAGACTAACCTCATAACCCTTTACAGAGCAAGGACTGGTGCAGAAGACTGCCCAGTTGGAATTGCCTGGGTTTTTATATCGGTAAATAGAGCCGTCTGTACTGGAATTAGTCCTGCCCTCTCCTTTTTCTTTCACATTCTTAGAAGGTGTAATGGGGTTTTTGGGGCCTCCGTCTTCTTTCTCATATTAAAGGCTGCAGGTTTGTTGCCCCCCTGCCATTATTACAGACAATTTTGCCAGAGCGAACATGCTTCTTTGTAAGTGGAAGTGCTGAAAGTGTTCTGCCCTTTTTTTTTTTAATGGTTTTCAGTGCAAGCTCCAAGTGTTCTGCACTTTTTTTTTTTAATGGTTTTCAGTGCAAGCAGTGATTGAGGAAATGGCCTGGTATGTTCTAGCGTTTGCCTCTTCTCACCTGCAGCCCCACAAACATGGCCAGGCAACACTCGATAAAGAATCAAGCATAATCAAATGTAGGAGGCACTTTTTACATGCATAGGCATATTGGATAGGAAGCCCATTGCTGTTCGTTACACACACACTTGTTTCTCTTCTCTCAAAGATACAATAAAAGGGAGGACGACTTTCCCAGTCTAAGGGAATATAATGATTTCCTGGAAGAAGTAGAAGAAATTGGTAAGTCTTAATGCTTGCATTTTTGATGTGCTGTGCTCATGAGACTGTAGGCTTTTATCTTCCCATTTGACTGCCTACAGTATCAAAGCTGAGTTTCTTTAATAGGGTTTATCATGGTATCTGATGTTTATCTAATTACTTTTGCTTTACATTTTTAATCATATTTGTCCGATTGGAGAGAATGGTTAAGTTGAACACTTTGTCTGCCAGAGAAGAAAATGAGTTGTGGAGGGGGAGTGGTCCTTCATAGCTGGAGAGGAAAGGCTCAGAGGCCATTGGTGCTGCATTGGGAGAGATTAAACAAAGAACAAGGAAAATTTAAATTCTCATTTTATGCCTCCATTAGCTTTATCTACCATGACAGAAGCCATATGGTGTCTTTCATCATTTTGCTTCTGTGAGTACAGTAGTTGGAAACTGCTTTGAAGCCAATGACCTTACATACCACTGTGGCAGCATTTCATGTTGCTACACAGGAGAGGAAGTTTAAGAGCAGACGCTGACTTTTTTTTCTTATATTTGCTGAAGCAAAGCTTGGCCCATTAAGAGGAGACTATGCTTACCTCAGTTCGTGCTCCACTCATTCAGTGTCACTTGAGATTTATGGAGGGTTGGTGGAGTCTGTGTGGAAATAGGGACCTGCTCACAGACTTGCAGATTTTATTTGCTTTTATGAGTTGTTGAGGTTTGTTTCGGTTTTGGAGCAGAAAAGCTGGTTCAGGCTTTTCAGGGCAGGCAGCGAATGAGGCTTGAAAGAAAACAAGGTGGTACGAGAAAAACCCTGGTTGTTCTGCACTGAACTTATGGTGGCTTAGAGAATTGCATCCTATACCTCTTTGCAACTATCAAAAATGTGTTGGGGTGGTGTTGCCATCAAAAGCCTGATGCTGGAGAGCAGAGGTGCGTGGCTGGAGCTTCCAGACGAAGTCCTGAAGGCCACGACATCCGCGAGCAGCGGAAAGGAGGTGTGGTTTGAGGTAGAAGAGTGGGATATACTAGCAGCTTGGCCAAACTCTTAAAAATGTCTGGCAAGAAGTTGGAGCAATGTTATAGCCTTGATGGCCAGGAACAAGCATGAAGCAAGGAGTGTAGTGAGTGATATCCTTTTATTGGACTAGCTGTATGGTTGGGATAGAGTTAGGTAAGCTTTTGAATGCAATCTGTTCTGTGCTTCATGAAAAGCGGTGGTGGTGGAGGGTGTTTTTTAAAAAAAAAAGCTTAATAGCATTTACTATAGGCTTCTATTTCTGTTAGTAGGACTTGCAATGTCTGCTTCAGATAAGTGGAAAGCTCAGCTGAGAGCAGGGGGGTTGTGCACCATCAGTTGGTACAGACTTTAGTCCTTTATTCGAGTTTCTGCCTCTTGCGGTTGGGATGTTAGACTACCAAACAGTCCCAGCACCAGCAGCAGCAGAACAAAATGAAGAATGATCCTTTTCCCTGCCAGCTTTCCCACAGAAAAACTGAAGAAAGCAACGGCAGTGGCAGGCACTGGAGTTAGTCCCTGAAGAAGAAAACTCAAAATACTGGAAGAGCTAGGATAGTGGAGCACTTTATAACTTCCCCTCCCCTTTTGTGGCAGGCAGACAGTTCCCTCTCCTTTCCAGCAGCGGTGGGGTCAGGGTTTCACATTGATGATGTGCTTCGTCAGCTGGAGACAGAGCTGAAAGCTCGGGGCACCATGGTAGTAGAAAGCTCATTCTTGTTCCTCTTTCCAAAGTGACATGGTTTCTCACCTGGATGTTGTATTTGGACATGCCTTTCATGACCCCCTCTCAGTCTCATAGCCATCTTTCTGCTGGTAAGTTCAGTTTTCCAGCTGTCTAGCAAATAAAGACAGCAGGTCCCCTTCTTACTGCAACTGTAATAGCATTCTTCTTGACTGATGAGCATAGCGTAACCGATCCATGTGTTCAAAAAACAAACCTTGAGAGATGTCTAGTTCACATTTGTGTATTACAAAAAATACTTGCATTAATATGTCTCCAGTCCATTTGCGCTGTTGCAAGACAGACAAGAAATCAGGCTGCAGGACAGAAAAATCATGCCTCGTATAGACATGAAGGTCAAAGCTGCGATCTGCTGGTCTCTGACACATGGCAGTATCTAATGGTGACCGACAGCAAGCAGATTATGAAGCTGGTGGGTGCAGAACCAGAAAACGATTGTTCTTTGGGAGTTTGAATATATTATTAAGGGTGTCCAAAATCAGCATGAAGTCCAGGTCTACCTTGCTCTTGATCCACAGTTTAAAAAAAAACACTGCAGTAAAGGCTAAAATAAAAAATGGTTTATAGAATAAAGGATGTAAAACATACGGGAATGTGCTTTATTGTGATCCCCGACATCTTCCTTGCTGTTTCCCAAGCACTTCCATTGCAGCTCCAACTCAACTGTCTGCATCAACTGCAGTGCCTGCTCTCCTAGATTGTGGTTTCTGACCATATCTGAGAGATCCATGTCCTGTATATGTCAGACCTACAATGCTTAGAGTATTATTTTGCGTAAAGGAAGGAGCCGTGGGCAACACTGGTTTAAAGGAAAAAAAAAAAAAGCAAGTAAGCATTTCAGTAGTTACCTGTTAGTATTTCCATTACCAAAAAACCCCACATTTTGAAGTGGTTGAGAATGCAGCCATTAAAGAATGCTCTGGGCTAAAATGTGTTCTACCAGGTCTTGAATAGAAACCACATTTAAAAATAAATTCCCCAGGAAAAAAAAAATCAGTTTGGCAGTTTTTAGAACGCTGTAAACAGCTCATTGTCATTAAACCAGGAAAAAGTGAACAGAGTGTGTTCTGCCCCAGAGCTAGGGGTATGCAAAGCTTATTGAAATCTGTGGGATAGCTTTGTGCCTAATGCCTTTGCTAGTAGCTTTGGCCGTGAAAACCACTAAAGTACATCTCGGCAAGCTCGCATGTATAGTCTCCTCTTATTCTTCCTCCAGTGCCGCCTCTTAATTTAATTTTTTTAACTCAGATTGTACACCTTTGGAGAGAAGGACTGCCTTTTTATGATACGTGTATACAGTGCTTGGCACAAAGTGCCCCTGATGCCTGCCTGGGGCCTTGAGGCATTATGACGGTACAATGGATTAGCAATAATTACCACTATTGTAAAACATTCAGTATATTCAAGTTGGACAGGGTTGCCACTGTGCATGTACCTTATGTTTTTTCTCATCCTTTGCTACTTTTCAAAGCCTTTTGTGCTGGACTCGTTGTGCTGGCCAAAAATATTGAGCCAGGAAACACTTATTTCATATGGACAATTTGTACCCATGTGCCTCACTTGCTTCCTCAGTGGATCTCACCGATTTCATTTACAAAGGGAACGACTCAGAAGATATATGCAGCTTTCTCGACATATGAAGAAAAAACCAGTTTGGGTTCCCACACCTGCTCCAGTCTGAATGTCCCTTATTTGACCTGATGGAGGTGATTAATTAAAAATCATTCAACGCTATGCTACTTAAAAAAATTCTTCTTCCACAGAAATAGAGCTGAGAACAAACATCTATAATTGCCAACCTCTTACTCAGGTTTTCCTAGCTTGAGCATTGATTTCTTTTTACTTTTCCTCTTAAAGGGGGTGGAGACAGAGGTGATGGGACATTTCAGCATCTTCATATGATGCTGACTTCAGTGTTGCTTTTGAGGTTGGGGGGGAATTTGGCAGTCTGGACCTCTAAGCCATTTTGAGCCTCAGAGGGGCCACGGGTGTTTTGAAGATTATAGCTGAGAAGCAGCTGTTGTAAATAGTGAGGTAGAAAACAGTGTGTTAATGATGAACTGACACTGGTAAGTTTTTGGTTTTTTATTTTAAATCAGAATTTCAGCTGGTTTGTACCACTAATGTCCACATCAAACTCTATGTCCTGTGTATAATGTGTGCTGCAGGATGATTATTTACAGTCCTTTTTTTTTAAATGTCTATTGGCTAATTAATGGACCAGAATATTAGGGAAGTGCCAACATCGAGGAGAAATAGCCATTGACCTTTTTTGGTTTATTGCTAAGGCAGCACAATAAATCCATTTTCATCTCATTAGGAAGTAGAGAAGAAAAGCTTGACAGCATCCCAGCTCATGGCAGACTTCGTCCTAAAGTATAAAGTGCATTGACTGCCTTATTGTCCGGGTGGTTTGTCCTCCGTAACACAGGCTCCTTTAGTTGTGTAACGTTTGAAAAGGTAATAACAGTGGTTTAGTTTGAATTAATTCGGCATAATTGTTTTCCTCTTTCTGAAATCATGGACCTCTTGTGTTTCCCCTATGGAATTGCTGGGCGTGTGGACTGGGAATTGCCAAACAGGGTGATCCACATGTGACCATTTTGCTCTGCTTCAGTGAGAACTTCTTATATCCCTGAATGAGGGGATCAGTTTTTGGAAGGGGTCTAGGTATGGGCCAGTGACTTTGAACTACGTCTATAGGACAGGAAAGGATGCCCTGGATCAACGCATCCAATCTCCTACTACTCAGGCTGCTATCAGTTGTCAGCTAGTCTCCCTGTATATTTTTTAATATAAAGAATTTTTGTGTGTTGCTATTGCCAGCCATGCTAGAAAAAAATAGTTGGTAGGAAGAGAAGCTTTTGATAGCCAATACTCTTTCCAGTCCAAGGCTACTGTCCCTCAAAGAGAAGGTAGGAGATTTGATGAAGCTGATTTAAACACCAGAACTGGACTTCTTTGCTATCAGCATTGCTGGTTTCCCTGAGAAATTATTGTTCCATATGACCCTAAAGTGCATCTCGGTGGTTCATTCTTACTTCCATAATAAATGGGAAATTACTTTTCCATTTGCTATATGATTGTGCAGTGAGCAGTTGTTTTTAAAAATAGTGTGAATTTTGCTGTAAAAACTGGATTTCAGAAAGTGTGGGTTTTTATCAAAATAGAATTAGAGATCTTGGAGAAAACAGTCATCTTCCTGTTGCATTTCAACAAAAATCTAAAGGTAGATCAATTTCTGAGCCAACCAGTGTGAGATGGGTAAAG